GTTCATGCAATAAATGTGAAGCCCTTGCAAGTGATGACGGTTGTGGAGGCAGCATAGCTGTGGGCAACTGTCCTCACACGGAAAATTCAGACACAAGCCCTGGAGGCCAGTTAAATCCTACTGGTATCAACTATGAGGAAAAAGTAACTGACTGCTCACTTTTCACAGCTGATTAGACCGTGGGAAATGTGCGTTTAAACCAAACACGTGGGAAATCTCAAAACGGATCTGACCAGCACTGCCAGAGCGGCGGGCCTGGAGAAGGCGCCCCTGGCTGCAGTCCTCGTAACCTGCTGTCGCAGCAAAGACGCCGAGGGGGTGTCTGCCCGCGACAGCTGCCGTGTCCTGTGCGTCCCCCCCAACCCCCGAACATGCCCAGGCACCTTCGCTGCTCCCGACACTCCGCTCTCTGCAGGCAGGCACATTTCCTTTTTCACTAAGAGCAGCTCAGACTCCAGTTGCCGCTGGCAGACCGCGAGCACCGACATCACGCTGTCCTGCTGGCTGAGACCCGCGCGGGTCAACGTCGGCAGGGCTTTGGCCAGCTGCGGGTCCTCCTTAATAGGGCTCTGTGATGAGCAGAGAAAACAAGGACAATGTTTGTGAGCACATCAGCCAAAGGCATCGCAAAGTCAGAAGTGCAGTGAGGCTACCTCAGAGTCCCAGGAGCTCTGCAGCCGGAGCACCAGCCAGCAGGCCCCGAGGGAGAGCCCACAGCTCAGGGCCAGAATCACACACACGCATGGAGCAGGAGACGAGCGGTGCGTACAGCAGGTCAGCATGTGCTGGAGCTGGGGCAAGCTGCGAAGACGGCCCCCAGCAGACACGGAGCACAGCACAGCTGCCCCCCAGCTCCCCACCTGCACCCCCAGATCCCAGACACACGCCAGCTCCCCACCTGCACCCCCAGCTCGCCGGACACAGCCCGGCCCCCCACGTGCACCCCCAGCTCCCCGGACACAGCCCGGCCCCCCACCTGCACCCCCAGCTCCCCGGACACAGCCCGGCCCCCACGTGCACGCAGCTCTGCACACAGAGGCTGCGCCACCTGTGGAGCCCACCTGTGGGCCACCGCCATGGCTGTGGGGGGCCTCGGCCAGCCACCTGCCACACACATCCTGTTCCCCCTCTTCGTGGCAGGAGGCGTCTTCTCCCCAGGACGCCCGCCACCCGGAACTGCCTGCCACTTGGGCCCCGTGTGCCTGCCACTCGTCCGGCTCCTTCTGGCACCTCAGGAAGCGCTGGTTGAGCGCCTGCAGCTGGCAGCTGAGGCGGACGCACTGCGCCCGGAGCCGCTGCAGCTCGGGGGGCTCCCCAGAGGCCGCCAGGAGCTGCTGCTCTAGGGCGCAGCGGAAGCAGGCCACGGCCGCCAGGATGGCCTCCAGCTCGGCAGAGTGGGCTGACTTCTGCTGGTGCAGAGCGTCGATTTCTAACTCTCTCTCTGCGATCTTCGCTTCCTTGGCTCGCAGGGCAGCTTCGAACTCGCGGATCTGGGAGGCCAGGGCATGGACCTCGGCCTCCCTGAGGGCGGCGCCGGGCCCCGACGCGGCCAGCTGCCGCACGGCCACCTCCTCTGCGGCCTGCAGGCGCTGCTGGAGGGCCTCGAGGGCCTGGCCATGCCCGCGCTCCTGCTCGGCCAGCAGCCGGCTCAGGGCCTCCTTGGCCTCGAGGGCGGCACGCAGCTCGCCCTCCAGCTCCGCGCAGGCCTTGGCTCCTTCGGCCGGGAGGCCCAGCAGCTCGCTCTGCAGGCTGGCGGCTCTGCCGTCACCGGCCTGGGGCGCTGCGGGTCCCCCGAGCGGGAGCTCCCTCTGCAGTTTCTCGATGACCTCATGGAGCTGTTCAATCTCCTGTGCTTTATCCCTCTGTAACCTCTCTTGGTTCTCTCGCAAATTCTCAATAATGGATTTCAGCTCTTCAATTTCAGAACTTCTGTTAAACACAACCTGAAGGAAAAGCACATTTCAGAGGCAAATGTCATACATCAACTTCAGAAGTTCCCCTTTCCACTTACAGCTGGGCCTGAACTCATTCTTACAGAAGTGGAGACTTGGCATCTTAAAAGCAGCTGTGGAAGCAACGAACAAGGCCACCAAATGACATCAAGATCTGAAGAACAGCCAGAACACCCGGCTACTTCCAGTGTGTCAAAATGGTCAAATATTCGTATCTGCAGTTGCTGCTTTGCTGCTCGTTCAAACGCTTCATTAAGGCCACACCCATCGCTGTGACAGACCCCAACCCTCGGCTGCCAGGGTTCAGGGGAAGCTCTAACTTGGCCACGTCTCAGTCGATGACACTACTCGTGAATGTATTCACCACCTTTTAAATGTCTATTTTCTCAACATTTAAACAACTTTGATTTGTTTGATTTTCCTAAAGGGGCATTTAGATGTTAGGTGTCATTCTAACACCAGAACAGGAATAAAAGTGAGAAGATTGGCTGAGGGAGTTTGCAGTCATGAAGAACGTGAATGAGCCAGAGCACACAGCACGCGTTCCACACCGTGTGCAGCGGGGACGCGGGGACTCAACACGGCAGCCATCAAACGATGCTTCTACTTGTGCTATTTAATCTAATTCTCAACAATTTTAAGGTAAGAAATGTTCTTGTTCCTACTTAGAAGGTGAGACAGCTGAAATCTAGATATGAAATATCTTGCCAAGACCACAAAGACAGTAAATGGAAAATCAGAATTGAAATCTATGCCAATATGGCTCCAAATTACATTCTCTTAAGACTACATCAATAGTAGGGACCAAAAAATCTTAAAGTTCTAACCAGTCTGTGTTCTAGTTAACAATTTTCAACCAACTGATTATAGTAACATCTTATACGTCCTAAAAATTAAGAGTTTCATACAATTCTTGGTTTCACTAGTACTACTTAAGCATTACTTTAAACACAAATCCAAACCTGGCCCATAGTGAAAACAAAAATAAGAAAACTGATTTTTGGTTTTGGTTTGGATGGCGTAAGCTGTACATCACACTCACACTTACCACATCTGAACGCCACTGTATGTAGTTGGCAAAAGAAAAGTTCTCAGTGTGAGGCAAGACCCTCTACCCAGCCTCATGCTGTGTGCTGCACAGACCCATGTCTCCCCACCCACAGACGACTGAAGGGAGTCGGGGGGTAATTCTGTCTGCATACGTTTGGCCTGATGCACTCAGCGCACTCAGCACACTGAGATGAAAATGTGTGCACAACAAAAGCGCCAAAGTCACAACACAAGCATCACACTTTATCAAAGCTAGCACGTGAAAGTGGCGTTAAAAAGTAGGACACTAAAATCTAAAATAAGTCCTCTAAGATACAGTGCAGTTGGAGCAAGTGAGGAAGCAGAGGCGCGACGATGTTCACAAAGCCCAAAGAGGGAAGAACAGAACTGCAGTTGCAGAACACAGAAAAAGGGCCAGAACACGTGTGTCGCATCTCCCCGAATGCGGGAGGAGCGGTGCCTTCTGCCACGCGACAGTGCACAGCGCACGGGACAGTGCCACGCACCCCAGGCAGCTAAGAGTGAGGCTCAGAGGGTGCTTCTCTCTCAGCCAGCGGATCCTGTGGGCATCTGGAGAGTCAGCACCAGCACAGCGTCACAGAGGGCCCACGGAGCTCCACAATGGGCACGCAGACCGACTCCGTGAAACCCAGAGGTACATCCCACCTGCCTACAGGCCCAGGATGTCATGCTGGGGATTCTGATGCAGCAAAGGCTACCAGACGGGGGAGTTTCCACCTTTCAGGCTGTGCCATCAGGCAGTGCAGCCAGATGAGGCCGAGAAGAGGGAACTGGGGCAGCCAGGGCTCTGGAGAGAAAAAGACAACAGACAGAGAAGCAGGGAAGGGAAACCAAACTTCATGCGATCTCTACAGGCAAGACAGAGTGCAAACTTCAAGTCCGACCAACATGACTACCACTAAAAGAAAAATCTCACCGCTTTGGGAAGCAAGAGTTCCCACAACATTATTTGCAGAATATCAAGGATGCAAATCAAAATTATTTTTTAAAAAAATCAGCATCACGTGGCCTGCTCTGACACGAAAAGACAACCAGTGACAACTAAAACTGAGATGACAAAAATGCTGTAAGAAGCAAATAAGGATGTTATAACTGTGTTCAAGGACATAAAGGTAAGCATGTTCATGATAAACAAGAAGATAGGAAATTTAGAAAATCACTCCAATGGGCTTGAGAAAATCCTGAACATGACAGAGTTCAAACTGTGAAGAGTCACAGACATTATCCCATCAGAGGAAAAGAATTATAAAAAATGCACACAGCTTCCAATACCCATAGGATGATGTAAAAGGTATGGCGTATTTGTAACTGGAGCTCTAGAAGAGAATGATGCAAAAAAACACCTCAATAAATAATGGCCCAAAACTTCCCAGTGCGAAATATTAATTTGAACAATCCCATAAGTATTGAGGAAATTGAATCTGTAATTTAAAAACAAAAAACAAAAAGAGAACTTGCCAGGCCCAGATGGTGTTACTCAACAATTAACACATTATTGACAGGAGACATAATAATACGTCTTTGGTTACCCGAATGTTATTGACTGGAGACGTATCAATACGTTTTTAGAGAGTGATACAATTAACGTCGCTGCGCCAAGTTGCTAAAGCTTAAAATTGATCAAGCGTTCATGATACAACTTACAATTGTCATTATCATTCACATTTTGCTCTGTTAGGCTTTTGTTCCAACATCGTGTATATTAGAAATGTAAAATTTTCAAAATAACGCCTCGTGAAATTTTGAGTGAAGAAGAAATTCTCAGTGAATTTTTTCAGATACTTTCTGATTGTCTGAGCAACATATACACTAGTGTCTCAGAAAATGATAATTCTTCAGAATATAGTTCTGATTCAGATGATGTGAATATTAGATCAACAAAAAGACAGAAAACCTTAGTGATTAATTCCAATACAGAAAGTGAAAATGAAACTCATGGTGCTGGAGAATGCTCCTTTGCTTCTACAGAAGAGCAGACTGAAGACAACATTTCACAAAAATTAGGAGACTTTACAGGTGCATCAGGTGTAACCATTGAATGTAATAACCTGCAAAGTGTTACTGAAATAACAGAATTATTTCTGGCTGGCCAAAATAAAAATTGCCGGCCACAGGTGTTAGTTTCTGCAAAAATCCCCCCATCAGTAATGAGTTAAATAATAAACAGCACTAATACTGAACAATCTTTTACAGAAAACAGAAGAGGGAACAATTCATTCAGTGAGGCCAATATTACCCTGATACCAAAACCAGACAGATATCACAAGAAAACTACAGACCAATATCCATGATGCATATATAAATTCTTAATAAAACACTAGTAAAGGGGCTTCCCTGGTGGCGCAGTGGTTGGGAGTCCGCCTGCCGATGCAGGGGACACGGGTCCGTGCCCCGGTTTGGGAAGATCCCACATGCCGCGGAGCGGCTGGGCCCGTGAGCCATGGCCGCTGAGCCTGCGCGTCCGGAGCCCATGCTCAGCAACGGGAGAGGCCACAACAGTGAGAGGCCTGCGTACCGCAAACAAACAAACAAACAAACAAACAAAACACTAGTAAATAGAATTCAGCAGATATAAAAGAACCATACACCATGACCAAGTGGGGTTTATTCCAGGGATTCAGGGCTGGTTCAATATTTGAAAATTCATCAATATTATCTACCACATTAGAATTTAATGTTAAATAAAACACACCATTTTTTAAATTAAATGAACATATCATTTAAGATAGCACAACAAAAAATAAAGTACCTAGATATAAACCTAACAAAATATATACAGGATATATAAATTGAAAACCACATATCACTGAAAGAAATCCAAGAAGACAAATAAACGAAGACTTACACCATGTTCATGGTCTGGAACACTCAAAATTGTTAAGATGTTAATTTTCTCCAGGTCAATCTACAGAGTCAACACAAATCCCAATCCAAACACCAGCAGAACGTTTTTGCAGGTATCACTTTGTTGCTTCTACAATTACATGGAAAGTTAAAGGAAGCAGAATTGCCAAAACAAATCTGTAAACAGGAAAAGTTGGATGACTTACATTACCTGGTTTCAAGACTTACTGTAAAAGTATAGAAACAGAAATAGTGTGATATTAGTAAAGAAAGAGAAACCTAGATCAATATAACTGAACAGAGTTCAGAGATCTAAATAAATATGGTTAACTGATTTTTGTGAATGGTGTAAAGGCAATTAAATGGAAAAAAGATTAGCGTTTGAACAGAGCTGGAAAAATTAGATATCCATGCGCCCAAATATAAAGTATATCATAGATTTGAATACAAAGCAAAACTATGAAATTTCTAAGTGAAAACATAAGAGACTATTTTTGTCATCTTGGGTTAGGAGAAGAGCTCTTAGATACAACTCCAAAAGCATAACCCATTTAAAATTTAATAAATTGAACTTCATCAAAACTAAAAAGGTCTTGATCTGTGGAACATACTATTGAAGAGTGAAGAGACAAACCACAGAGTGGGTTAAATATCTGCAGATCATATATCAAAAAAGTATTCAGAAGATATAAAGAATTCCCAAAACTGAACAATAAGAAAATGAACCCAACTTTTAAAAAATTAGCAAAAGAATCGGCAGTCCAGTAACCGACAGCTTCACAGGGGAACTATACCAAACATGTAAGGAAGTGCTAATCCCTATCCTTTTCAAACAATTCCGAAACACTGAAGAGGAGGGAACACTCCCAAACTTATTCTGTGAGGTCATCAGTGCCCTGATACCAAAACCAAAAAAAGGCACTACCAAAAAAGACAGTTACGGCAATATCTCTAATGAATATAGATGTAAAAATCCTCAATAAAATATTAGCAAACCAATCCAACAATACATTAAGAAATCACACACAATTATCAAGTGAGATTTATTTATCAAGTGAGATTCAATATCTGTAAATCAACCAATATGATACACCACATTCCCAAAAGGAAGGATAAAAATACACAATCGTCTCAACAGATGCAGTAAAAGCATGTGCCAAAATTCAACACCCATTCATGATAAAAACTCTCATCAAAGTTGGTAAAGAGGAAATATATCTCAATATAATAAAGGCCATTTATGACAAATCCACAGCTAACATCATATTATTGGTGAAAAGTTGAAAGCCTTCCCTCTAAAATCAGGAAAAAGACAAGAATACCTACTCCTGCTACTTCTATTTATCATAGTATTAGAAGTCCTAGCCACAGCAATCAGACGAGAAAAAGAAATAAAAGGCATCCAAATTGGAAGGGAAAAACTAAAACTATCACTATTTGCAGATGATGTTAATACTTTATATAGAAAACCCCAAAGTCTCCAACAAAAAACTATTAGAACTAAACTGAAATCAGAAAAGCTTAAGGATACAAGATTAATATACAGAAATCTGTTGCTTTTTCTACACATTAATAATGAAGTACCAGAAGAGAAAGAAAACATCAAAAAGAATAAAATACTAGGAATAAACTTATCTGAGCAGGTGGAAGACCTCTACTCTGAAAACTATAAAACACTGATGAAGGAAACTGAAGATAATACAAAGAAATGGAAAGATATTCCATGTTCAGAGATTGGAAGAATACTGTTAAAATGTCTATAGTACCTAAAGCAATCTACAGATTTAATGCACTCCCTATGAAAATACACACGGCAGGTTTCACAGAACCAGAACAAATAATCCTAAAATGTATATGGCACCACAGAAAACACCAAATTGCCAAAGAAATTTTGAGAAAAAGAACAAAGCTGGAGGTACCATACTCCCTAACTTCAGACTACACTACGAAGCTACAGTAATCAAAACAGCATGGTATTGGCACAAAAACAGACACACAGATCAATGGAACAGAATACAGAGCCCAGAAATAAACCCACACCCTTATGGTCAATTAATCAACAACAAAGGAGGCAAGAATATACAATGGAGAAAAGACAGCCTCTTTAATAAGTGGTGCTGAGAAAACGGGACAGCTACATGTAAAAGAATGAAATTAGAACATTCTCTAATACTATATACAAAAATAAATTCAAAATGGACTAAAGACCTAAGTGCACAGGACTTCCCTGGTGCTGCAGTGGTTAAGAATCCACCTGCCAATGCAGGGGACACGGGCTCAATCCCTGGTCTGGAAAGATCTCACATGCCACGTAGCAACAAAGCCCATGTGCTACAACTACTGAGCCTGCACTCTAGAGCCCGTGAGCCACAACTACTGAAGCCCGCGTGCCTAGAGCCTGTACACCTCAACTACTGAGCCCACGCACTTCAAATACTGAAGCCCATGTGCTCTAGGGCCCACGTGCTGCAACTACTGAGCCCGTGTGCTGCAACTACTGAAGCCCACACACTGCAACAAGAGAAGTCACTGCAATGAGAAGCCTGCGCATGGCAACAAAGAGTAGCCCCCACTTGCCGCAACTAGAGAAAGCCCGTGCACAGCAACGAAACCAAACAGCCAAAAATTAAAAAAATTAAAAATAAATAAAAATAAGTTTAAATAAATATATATATATATATATATATATATATATATATATATATATATATATATAAAAACATAAAACTGTAAAAAAAAAAAAAACAAAAGAAAAGAAAAGAGAAAAGACCTACATGCAAGACCAGAAACCATAAAACTGCTAGAGGAAAATACAGGCAGAACACTCTTTGACATAAATTATAGCAATATTTTCTCGGTGCTGTCTCCTAAAGCACAGGAAACAAAAGCAAGAATAAACAAATGGGACCTAAATAAACTTAAAAGCTTTTGCACAGCAAAGGAAGCCATCGACAAAATGAAAAGACAACCTACTGAATGGCAGAAAATATTTACAAATATTAGGACCAATAAAGGGTTAGTATCCAACATATATAAACCGTTCATACAACTCAACATCAAAAACACAAACACCAGGCTTCCCTGGTGGCGCAGTGGTTGAGAGTCCGCCTGCCGATGCAGGGGACACGGGTTCGTGTCCTGGTCCGGGAAGATCCCACATGCCGCGGAGCAGCTGGGCCCGTGAGCCACGGCCGATGAGCCTGTGCTCTGCCACGGGAGAGGCCACAACAGTGAGAGGCCCGCGTACCGCAAAAAAAAAAAAAAGAAAAGAAAAGAAAAAAGAAAAAGATCTAATATTCTAATCGATTTAATAATTATTAAAATCACTTTGAAAGATTTAAAGTATGTGCCAGAAAAACTTACTGTCCTATAATCCACATAGAAATGTTAAAATTACAAAGCGCACACAGTAGTGACAAGCCCACAAACTCTATCACTTGGATGTCCTGCCCTCTACACAGAAGCGCAGGGGAGGCCACCAGCAGACACGGAGCAGTGAGGGGACACTCCCACAAGGCCCGCCCCACACGCACCTCGTCCTCATGCTGCAGCAGCGTCCTGTGCACCGCCTCCAGCTGGACTTCTGCATCGTCAGGACGGTTGCCCGCAGGTGACCCCAGGCATTTGCCCTCATCCAGTTTAGACTGTAGTGTGGACACCAGGAGCAAGTTACTCATCTGCTGTTCCTGTAATGCCTCTTTGTCCTATTTAAGAAAAAAAGATTTATTTTAGGCAAGTGTTTCAGGAAATCGGGGGCCTCAAACTGCAGCTTGTTATTAAAGTGTAGGTCATCCTCAGCCCTTCTGGAGCACACCTGCACACACCTGCACATGCCAGACACACCATCCACAGACCCACCCATGCTCCAGAACAGATGCCTGCCTAGTGGAGGGTGCAGCCCAAACAGAGCCGCCGCGTGCGCCCGAGATTCCACTGCAAGGAACTTATCCCAGTCATTATTCAACAAGGTACAAAAAGGGTCTCCAGACTGTCAGCAAATTGTTTTAACTGGGAAGAACCTGACAAAGCACAGGGCAATGGCTGACAACACATCCACACAATGAGTGTTAGCAGCCCAGTAAAAAGTTTTCAAGGAACATTTACTATGGATGGAATGGTCACAGCACATTAAGTGGGGAAGAAATAGGCATCCACAATTGTACACATGGTCCAACTTTGTAGAGGAAAAAAAAAGGCATTTTCTACAGCCTGGTGCCTAGTAAGCTCGGTAGCTGTTGGCTGGAGGAGGGAGCCACCCAGAACTGTCCCCACGCAAGGGGGGACAGAGAGAGCCCCTGGCTGACTCAGGAGCCACGGGGCCTGTGCTGGGCGTCCTTCCCACACAGCACATCCTCAAGAAGGGGCCTGGGCTTCACCTAGTGATTCTCATCAGCATTTTCAAACCGAACACACCTGATAAAACTCTCCCCCTTGAGCCAGGGCTTTCTTAGGGCCAAAACGATTCCAAAATAAAATTTCTTACTGAGCCTCAGACTTTCAAGTAACCTTTAAACCCCCAGTGACACGAGATACAAGAAACTTGGATTCCTTTGGGCTAAATGCACAAAGGAGGGGCAGCGCTGACTGGAAAGGCGCTCCTACGCCGCCCTGCCCCACTCCCAATCAGGGGACCTGCCCACACGCAGCTTTCCCACCTCATCTTAAACTCTTAGACACAAGAACGTGCACATCCCTGAGGCGTAATATTCCAAACTACAACTAGAACTATCACCGGAGGTGCTTTCACTGAGGGGCTGTGACATAAATTCCTTACTCAAAAATTAAAATAATTGTAACTAGGCTCTATGTAAAGTATTTAATAAAATAAGCTTTCTAAACCTAAACTCTTGAAGATTTACTTAATTACTAGGGATAAACTCAAGAGTACTTGAGAGACAAAGGAGTGCTATAAAACTGGTATGAAATGTTATTACACTAAATGCGACACTGTGATGTGCAATGAGAAACACGCACCTGGTCTCTGTACGATGCCTGGCACAGAGCGCCTGACACCTTGGTGCTCCCTGAGCGATGAGAGTGACGGAGGTGCCCTACATTCCCAACAAGTCCCTCCAGCCACATCTGAGTCTGTGTCACAGAGGTGACTTTGGGGAAGCCCCAGGCCACTGAAGGATGGCAGCTGTTTGCCAGGGGAACTGACCATGGGATTCAAGGGTCAGAACTTTCAGTCCCAGCCCTGGCCTCCAGGGAGGGGAGAGGGGCTGAAGGGTGAATCCATCACCAATGGCCAATCATGGCTGCATGATGAAGCCTCTACAAAACCCAAAAGGATGGGTTTCCAGGAGCTTTTGGGTCAGTGCGCCCTCCTCACCTGCCCTCTGCACCCCCTCCATCTGGCTGTTCCCGAATTGCATCCTTTTACTGGCAACCCAGTAAGTAAAGTGTTTTGAGTTCTGTGAGCCACTCTAGCAAATTCGTTGAAACCCAGGAGGAGGTCGTGGGATCCTCAACTTATAAAAGTTGGACCTGAGGTGGGCATCTGGGTGCGGGGACAGTCCTGTGGGACTGAGCCCTTAAGCTGTGGGGTCTGACGCCATCTCCAGGTAGACGGTGTCAGAGTTGAGCTAAGTCGCAGGACACCCAGCTGGGGTCACCGGGGACTGGGGAGACCCCCACAAGCTTGGTGACCCTGTGTCCACAGTGGAGCAGTCGGAGCTGGGGGTCTGCGGTGAAAAGGAAGCCCCGCCACAGCAGCATCCCCCCGGCCGCCCCCCTCCGCCCTGGGACAGCACGCTCACCTGCTCCAGGTCCCTCGCAGCTTTCCGCTGTCTCTCCAGTTCTCCCTGGAGCTGCATCAGTTTTCTTGCGGTGCTGGCGTTCGTCTCCTGCAGACGTTTAATCTCCTCTTTCTGGATTAATACTTGTCTGTCTGCCAACTCTTTCTTTATAATCAGTTCATTAAGTCCGTCTGATTTTTCTCTCAATTTTTCTTCTAACAATTCAATCTAAAAACCACAGAAAATGCTTCAGAAACAATAGTTTAAAAAAAAAAAACCCACCTGCAAAGTAAAGAGAGTAAAACAGCACAACTGTGAGAAAACCGGTCCTCTACGTGGCTTCCTAGGCCCACACGGCACAGTGAAGCCTGGTGAGAACAAGACAGAATTCTCTCTGTAAAATGATGCACAAAAAATAACACAGAATTTGTTAGTAAAATAAAATAAATTATGGGAGGAAGGAATGGAAAGCCACTGAGCAGTAAAAAAAAAAAAAAAAAAAAACCGAGCACAGATTGATACAGTACCGCCTGGGTCAGGGTCGAGAAGCAGGCTGAGTGCAAAGGTTACACCTATGGTCCGTTTGCACAACAGCCTGGAAATTACAAAGCTGCCGAGAGAGCGGGATTAGCGGGTGGGAGGCAGTGGGCGCCGTCTCCTGTCTGCATGTCCACACCCTGGCTGGGACCTCCTGCAGCACATCACCATGGGGGGAACTGGTCTTATTTCCTCTAACTGCAAGTGAATCCACAATCATCTCAAAGTAATTTTAATTTTTAAAAAGAATAAGCAAATCAACTACAGCGACCTCAGACAGGAGGAAGCAGACAGATCCGACCCCAAAGCAGAACGAAGCAAGAAAAACAAACCAGAGACAGGGCCCCATGCACCAACCCCTCCCTGTCTGGTCATGCAGAGAACAGGCAAGGGGCGGCAGCACTGAGGGAGCGAACGGACGACGCACAGACACAGACAAGCACGGAGCACTCGCACCTCACCATCCAGCTGCACCCGTGGTCGTTTTCGTGTACATGGAAGGCAAAAAAGAGTTTAAAGGTAAAGCTTTTTTTGAAAGCGGCGCAGAGAACCGCTCCCCACGGGCGGGGCCTGGCATGCGGCAGGCGGGCTGACTTACGTCGCTGTCGCGGGGACCCGGCAGTCGCGGCCGGGCTGCCTGGCGGAGCTGTTCCTCCAGCCTCTGGATCTCCTGCTGGAAGTCCTCGCGCTCTCGTTCCCGCTCCACCGCCTGCGCCTGTCGCGAGAGGCAGCCTGTTTGGACCGTTTCCCCGAGAGTCCCCACCGCCCTTTGCAGGCAGGAGCGGAGGACGGGGACCGGGTGGAAGGGGCCCCCTTGTCATGGGCACCGCGAATAACGGAGCCACATGAAGAGGCACAGCCCCCAGGTGGGACCCGGGGCGGCTTCTGAGACACGGGCAGGAGAGACAGAAAGCAGACGGCAGGGGGCCAGCAGACACCGCCCCGGACCAGGGCAAGCTGCGCATGCACGACACCCAAGAGACGTCCGCTAGGCTGTGCTCACGTTCATCCCGACGCCAGCACAGAAGCTACTTAACAACCTAGAAAGAAGTTCACGCTACGAAGATGACCTCCGGTGACGCAAACAAACTCATCGCTCGAGACTCTTACGTCCATGAACTGGCGCTGGCGGCGCAGCTGCTGGTCCAGGGAGCCCATCTGCTGCCTCAGGGCGGAGAGCTCCTCGGCCTGCCGGGCACACGCCTGCTGCCGCGAGAGCTGCTCCTCCAGCTCTGCCTCTAGGAGCCTCATCTGGGACAGCAGCGCTGAGCGGTCCTTCTCCGACTGCTCCTTGGTCTCCGAATGCTCCTTGGTGAGCGACTCCACTTCCTTCTGAAGAGCTGAAGGTGCCGAGGAAACAGCTGAGGGGCCCAGCTCAGGGAGCCGTGGGCCGGCAGAAACGTGGAGACGTGCGTTTCTCCAGCGATGGAGCGTGGGGGGCAGCATGCGTATCCCTCCACCCCCACGGGCGTGTAACTCAGCCAAGGACACAGCCGCCTCGAGAGGACGGCTGTGCACCCTCGACCTGTCAGATCCCGAGCCCACGTCCTAATAAACAGCCACAGTTCTGCCAAAACCCACTGAAAACACAGCTGAGTACTCCTGCGGGGGGTGGCGGGGAGGGAGGAAGGAAAAATTATACTTTTTAAACGAAAATTGGCTAAAATAAAAAATTTTAAAGCCTGAGAAGAGAACACATCTTTGTGTCCCCAAATGACGTATCAGGTAATTTTCTGGGAATTTTGCCTTCACGTATATTCTCCAACATGGAAAAATAAAATGTAACTTAAAACCTCCACCAGAGGAAACACCAGCCCCGCTGCGGAGGTTCCCAGCTGATGTGCTGACCGCACAGGCCTCCCTACACACCCGGGGGTGACCTGTCTTGAGGAAAAGGGTTGAGCCGTCAGCAAATCTAAAGCCGACCTAAAACGGATGGGGCGATGAGGCCACGATCCAAGGGAAACGACAGGTTAACAAGCATCTTTGGAAAAGAGGTCTCCCTGCAATGGATCCCAAAGTGTTGAAACTATCCTGAAACTGAAATGTTAAACCCATATGTTTGTATTTACATTTCACCAGCTTTCCAAAGTTAATTATTTTGGTTTGTATAAATCTGTCTTTTACGACAAACTACCACCCCCACTAATGTAACATTCTCAATAAACTTCCAGGCTAACAAGTCAGCAACGATGGCAAATTAGGCTTAAACATGCAGTTAGAACAATGTCCTTCACGGGCCTCAGAGACTCGAAACCAGGGCTCGTGTGCCACTGCTGTGATGACCAGTGCTGCCTGGCCAGCCACCCAGACAGGACCCGCTTCAGGGTCACACAGCCTTCGTGCAGGCAGGACTGAGGGGAGGTGTCCATGCGGCCATTAAGGCCACACACAGTGCCAACTCCAGAATCAGGAGACCTCCTGGGGCCCCCAGTGCAGGCCTCCAGCCCAAGGACGACTATGGCAAGACAGGCTTCCTGCGGCTCAGTAACTGCAGTTAAGCATCGTGAGAGAAATGCTTGCCCATTTTTATGTATGAATATTGAAGATCAAAGTTATCTTTCATGTAGTAGTTTGCCACAAAAGCTAAGTACTTGTCCTCTTTAGTAAAAAATTGGCAAAACCTGATGCAAACATATAGCATATCACACAGAAATCACTCATTTGCTTTTACAAACCTGAATCCTTGTGTGCTATAGAAACAGGAGTGCCTATAAATGAAAACACACAGCATTTTCAGAAATGAAAACAGAAAACTGGGTGACTTAGGATACGAAAGTTAGAGATAAGAGAAGGGAAAACGCCAGCAGCAGGGCTCCAGGAAACGTTGTGGCCTTGACGCCAGGCCTTGGACAACCTCTGAAACGTGTGCTACTTCCGTGATGCCACTGCTTGGTCCGAATGTTGTGCCCCCAGAATTCATATGCTGGTGTTTGGAGGTGGAGCCTTCAGAGGTGATGAGGTCCTGAGGGTGAAGCCCCATGAGGGGATGAGTGCTTCTCTTATAAAAGAGGCCCCACAGAGCTGCTGCCCCTCCTGCACGTGAGGGCCCAGCGAGAAGGCGCGTCCATGAGTGGGAGGCGGGCTCGCACCAGAAGGTGACCGTGTCGGCACCTTCACCTCGGATTCCCACCTCCAGGACCATAAGGGTGAGTAACGGCTGCAGCGTGAGCCGCTGGGTCTCTGTTGAGACTAATGCCACTGTTGGCCCTCGTGTCGCAGCAGGTCCCGGCTCCCAGGGGCTTTGCTGCTGACTTTTAAAGACAACAAGGAAGAACACAGAGGACAGATGGCATCGCCCTGAAGGTGGGCACGAGACACGCGAGAACAGGTGAGGCTGAGCTGAATTCCCCCACGGGCGCCAGGATCCCCCGCCCTTTGGAAGCTGGCCAGCGTTCACGAGGAGCCAAAGCAGAATTGGGACCGAGTGGCCCCCAAGACCGCGCCTGGGAAGGGAAGGGAAGGCCAGGTGCCAGGCCGGCGGGCTCCTGCAGGGCGGCAGCGCACCGGAAGTCCCCAGATGGCCGGGCAGCTAGAGACAGGGACCAGACAACAGTGAGGAACTAAGGTGGGTTAGCCATGTAAAGATGAAAGCAAACCGAGAGGACCCAAAGGAAACACGAGAATTTCCTGGGGATAAAACAAACGCAGGAGGAAAGACTGGCCTGGGTTGGGGAAAAGGTTCCATGGGTCTGCACCCCCCCGGCCAGCCCCTACCACACACAGGTGGGCCAGGCCTCTCTGCAGGGGTGAGGGGTGGTCACAGTGGACGCAGGGGAGGCGCCAGGCCTAGGGCTACGTGGCTGCTCACCTGACCCCACACCTCTGCATCTCCCACAGGGTCCCAACTCTGAAGCCCTAACACCCCGCGCAGGGAGAGCAGGCTGGAGGTACGAGAGCCCGTGACAACAAACACAGGTCTCAGACGGGGAGGGCCCAGCCACCACTCAGACCCACAGGCTGGGACGCCAACACCCGGGAACGGGGGGGGGGGGCCAGCCCGGGAAACA